GTAAATACCAGCCCATTAATGCAAATATATAAATTATTAAGAAATTGCAACCTCCTAAAAATGTTAAGAATTACAAAGATTTTTAGGAAATATTAATGTATATCATAAATTTATTCAAAATTATGCTAAAATTAGAGCTCATCTAACAAATTTACTTAAAAGGGCTGCCCCCAATAAATGGACTGGTGAATGTCAAATAGCTTTTCAAAAATTAAATGATGCATTAATTTCTAGGCCTATCCTAACTTTATTTAATCCAAAATACCCATGTCATGTATTTTGTGGTGCATCTAAAGAAGCTGTTGGTGTGGTGTTAAAAAAAGAACATCCTGATGGTAATTTATATCCAATTGCTTTCATTCTAGAAAATTAAGATCTTATAAACAAAATTATGTAATTACCAAGCTAGAATGTTTGGCTATTATTGATGCAATTGATAAATATTATCATTATTTACATGGTAATCATTTTACTTTACATACTGACCATGCTGCTTTAGTTTGGCTTCAAAATATTAAACATCCTACTGGGTCGCTTATTTAGATGGTCTTTACAATTATCAATGTATGATTTTGATATAAAGTATAAAAAGGGGTCCACTAATGTTGAAGCTGACATGCTAACTAGAAATCCTATTTGTCAACATTTAAAATTGCATGTTAATTTATTATCATTAGAATAAATAAAAGAATATCAAAATTCAGATAATGTTTGCAATCCTAAGTATAAGAAAGTGAATGGTGTGTTATCTATTAAAAAACAAAGACTATATAAAATTGTAATTCCAATACCTCTTCGTACTAAATTACTTAAGAAAGCACATCTACAATTTGGTCATATTGGCGTGCCGTCAATGCTAACGTTATCATCTCCTCAATATTTATTGGCCAGGAATTGTTCAAGATGTTGGAAATTATTGTAAGCATTGTGAAGTACGACAGTTTAATAAGAAAAATAAACAAAAGAAGTTTGGTTTAATGCAAAATTTACCATCAGTTAGTGAACCTTTTGAAATATTATTTATTGATACTGTAGGTGGTTTAAATTATTATAATTCTACCAAAAAGTATATTCACATAATTATTGATCATGCAACTAGATATATCTGGACTTTTGCTTCCAAAAGTGTAACTACGGATACTTATATAAATTGCTTAAAACAAATTTTCCAAATTCAGGTCCCTAAAAAGATTTTAAGTGATAGGAACGCTGCTTTTACATCTTCAAAATTTAAGCACTTTTTAAGGAATCATAATGTAAAACAATTATTAACTACTGCAAATAGATCCCAAACTAATGTTAAAGTTGAACGTGTTACTCAAAATATAATAACTAGATTAAAATTTAAACTAAAGTCTTATCAAGGTAATATTGCATGGACAAAATTATTATCCCAAGTAACTGAAGAATATAATTACCTTCCTCATTCTGTAACAAAATTCCCACCATCATATTTAATGTATGGAAAAATACCTTATGTTTCCTTACTTCAACATCAAGAATTATATACACTAATAAAGGAAGCTAGAAAAATTGCTCAAAAAGATCTGAAGATTATCATAATGTAAACAAAGAAAGATTCGATACTCATTATAAACCTAGTAATTTTAAAATAGGTGATTTAGTAATTAATAAAGAATTTCAATATCCTAATACACGTAAACTTTCTCCTCCTTTTTCAGGAGCTTACAAAATTTTAAAACAGTATTCTAAAGATAATTTTGAAATTGTTAAACCTAATCCTCTAAGAAAAAAGAAATCAGAAATTATCCATTCAACCAGACTAAGACCTTTTAATCCAGCAAGTGAATTTAAATTGACTGTTAGAAATAGTAGAATTTCTATCTCTGTCCAAAATTAATTTAATTTTAATTTTTCAAAATTCTCCAGCAAAATTTTTCTTGATTATGACATTTGATTATGATAATTTATTATTTAGTATTATTCTTCCATATATTATTGTTTTAAAGCTCTAAATTAGATATTTAGTTATAAATTATATGTTTATTTATAAACCATAGGTTCATTGTAAAATTCTATGACTAAGCATTTTCTAATTATGTAAGAAATGTCATGCGTTATGATAAGGCATAGGTAAAGCCTATAAGCTATGTCCTGAATGTTTTTCTTCATGTCTTTCCTCATACTCTAAATTTTTTCTTGCTTTACTAATGTACTAATGCTTTGGTGTCCTGGCCTTTCGCTTTGAGGGGGAGATGTAAAATATATATATATATATAAAAATACAATGGCTTTGCTCTACTGGAACAGGCAACCTCTAATTAACTTTCCGCAATTTCAGGATCTTCCACATAGACCAGTACTTTCGAGAACATTCTGACATGTTATGTAATCGCTACTATAAAGGTAGAGTTCGCGCCATTTTTTATCAGATTGTTTTCCTCTTCCTGCCACCATAAGACCCTTGCTGCCGCTCTTCCCGTCTGTCTTTCTTTGTTTGAATAGTAAGAAGCGGTAAACTTAATACTATTTAATCTAAATTCCTATCTCATATATAATCTTGGAGAATTTAAGGGGACTCATACACCTTAAACCCCTCATGATCTTCCAATATGTGCAAGAATTGGGATATTTTATTTATTTTAAAAGCAATTACTTCCAACTTTTTACAGCTGACTTCATGACATAGCTGCTTTGGAAACTAATAACCAAAAAGTTTGTGTGCCACAAATAGTTTTATAATTTAATCCTCTTTGTGACAAAATATTTCGCCATATTTCCACCTTGCGCGCATGATATTTTAAAAATGGCCAATTGTACATACTTGAAATTTGATGGAATTCTTTATATGGACACTATTTTCTAACTGAACCAACAATCTGATGAATATTTTAATTTTGAAAAATTTTATGGACGAAAAAATTACAAATTTTTTTAATAAAATACATTTTATAAACTCATCTCAAAATAAAATAAAAATTTAACATGAAATTTTTAGAATTTTAGGTTCACAGTAGTTTCCAGATGTTATAAAAGCTATATATTGAATATGGAATTAAATTATGAAATAGAATGTTTTAAACTGTGCGCGCAAGTTGGAAACATGACGAAAAATGTTGTCACAAAGCGGATTAAATTATGAAAATATTTGTGACAATACAAACTTTCTGATTACTATTCTAGAAAGCAGCTATATTATGTAGTCATCTGTAAAAGGTTGGTAGTAATTGCTTTTAAAATTAATAAGTTATCCGAATTCTTGCGACAGTCACCTATTCGAACATCTTATGGATTTTAAGGTGTACGAGTCCCCTTAAAAGCATAATAATTTGCATTTGAATTGAATAAAGATGTGGAATCAAAACAGATAACTTCTTCTGTGTCCTCATTTCATGCCAAGTTTGATTCATGCGCCCGACTGACAAAATATGACATATATATATATATATATACAGGTGATTCTAAATTGTTTTTACAAATTAAGAGGAGCGTTAGTATCATCCAGACGATTAACATATAACATAGTGTTGCATTTCATTCTGAGAGACAGAATAAAGGAAAGTAGAAACGTATGGAGGGAGAACAAGGAGACTATCTCCTAAGACTATCAAGAATTAACCGTATGCAAATTTGCACCGAGAAGAAGCAGGATTTTGCTCTTAATTAGTACCGGAGAAAGCCAAGCAGAGCAAACAGTGTCCTTGAAAACGGCACAAACTCATCGCTTTAAGTATTACCTTGGTAACATCGTCCGAAACTTTTCATGAATGCTATGGCGGAGTACACGTACGAGGAATTGGCAGTTAGTCACCTCACATACAGTGAAGCAAAAGGGAATGGATGCGAAGCACGGAGTTTGTACGAGCAGCGGTTTCCAGCTCGTCGGATTCCAAGCCATATAGACTCCAAGTCGAAGACTGCAAGAAACTGGTTCTTTTGCCATCTCAAAAATTTTGCAGTATGTTCGCAAAATGCATGAACGCCAGAAATAGAAGAGCGAGTTGTCGGCTTTTTGAGCAGTTTCTGTGAGTTTTACACTAAATAATAAATCTGATTTTGCAACTTTTCGTCTTGTTTATTCCCTTTCCCAACACTTTTCTAGGTTAAGGTTGTAATTTTAATATTCCTCTTTTCTTCCTCTTAGAGTGGAATGCGACCCTATGTTCTATGGTAATTATTGCTCGTCTGGATGGGTACTATCACTCCTCTTAATTTGAAAAAACAATTTAGAATCACCCTGTACATATATACATACATATATATATACGAGGGCATTTCGAAAAGTAAAGATACACCGTACGCCAGAGGAAAAGAAAAGCTTTGGTGAGTACGTTGGCAACACAGATGTTAACCTTGAACCGTTAGCTTTCTCCTCGCGGTCGTTCGGCATTTCAATGTTGATTCTGGTTGGAGTACGTCGTGTTTAAAATGGCTGCGCCGATTCAGAATCCCGCCAAATGCGAAGTGCGCTCCGTCATACGTTTTCTTCATGCAAAAGGTCAGCGATCAGCGGATATTCACAAAGAAATTGTTTCTGTTTATGGGAACATTATGAATCGACAAAATGTAACGAAATGGTGTCGTCATTTCTCTCAAGCTAGGACCGATGTTCATGACGAACAAAGAACAGGTCGGCCATCTATGATCTCTGATGCCCTTCTTCAGAGAACAGAGGATGCAATTCGTGCGAATAGACGTCTCAAATTGAAAGAATTGCATTAGATCATACTGGAACTGTCAATGATAACTCTTTATGCAGTTGTGATTATCAAGTTAGGGTACAGGAAATTGTGAGCGTGCTGGGTTCCAACAGGCGGCAACCTTCTATGACTGTGGGATACAAAAGCTTGTGCACCGACTTAACAAATGTTTGGATAACGGATGTGATTATGTCGAAAAATAATAAATAATAAAATGTAACTGACGTTTTCTAAATAAATGTTTTTTAAGGAATGCGAGCCATTGTATCTTTACTTTTCGAAATGCCCTCGTATTACAATATTATATATATGTAAAAGAATATTTTTTTCCTTCTTAAGGTGAGTGAAATAATACACAGGGACAAACTCTCCAGGTCGAATCCATGGAAATCTGTGACACATAAAGAATTCTACGAAAAGCTCGAGGAAAATTCTCAAGGTGATACATTAATATAAATACTTTGGCTGGTAATAAAGTTCTGATTTTCTCATAAGTTATTGCTGAAGCCATTATTTAATTATAATAGCATTATTAGAAAAATTTTATTACATTTACTGCACATACTTCTGATGTTAGGAAGGGCATAATGTAGTTTAATAAATTTAATAAAAGTTAATTTAGCTTAATAAACTTAGACAATGTAGTGTGTTAATAAAGTTTACATAATGTTGTAGATTAATAGAAGCTACATAATGTAGTAGTTAGATAATAAATTGGGTAACTTAATAAAACTTACATAATGTATTCCTACGTGGGAAAAACTGCATAGTATAGTTCTTCCCACGTAGGAACACATTACGGATCGCATTTCTTACACTTACCACGTAGGATTACATTTCTTGCAGTTCCTACGTTGGAAGAACTACATAAAGGAGTTCTTCCCACATAGGAAGTGTAAGAAAATTCCAATTCATACAGGACAACTTGCAGCATTGAGCAACATTAATACGTCAACGTAATTTAAAATTAATCCAAAGAAACGCTTTCATTAAATAAGTACAGCCTATTTCAAATTCAAATTATTTAGCTTTTATATACATTATTTAAAAATAGCATATACAAACTTCAGTAAACAGTTTTTGATTTGGAAATGATCTAAGTAAAATATAACTTATAAACCTATCTATGAAATAATGATTCTCGAATATTCAGAGTTAGGTACAGAATGCTCTTTAACAAGAAAATGTTTCTCAGGTTATGATTATGAGATAAAATTTATTTTATCCAATTTGTGAAAAGTATTACATAAAAATATGCATCAAGGACGACTTTACGTTTACTTTCTAAAACCAGCATTTTTAGGAGTCGCTTCTTCCCAAGTCATTTAACTTGAGACCCGCAGAAACATGCAAAATTATTTTGCTTATAGTACTTTTATTTTTAACTAGTTTTTAAGGCATCTCTTATAAATTCTATTGCACTTATTGATAAGTTCAATGAATTTTATAAAATACAGCATTTATTCCATTATATGTTAATTTTTAATTCGAGTGAATGTGATATATTTCAACTTCCATTGCGTATTTTGTTAGCTCCATTCCATTAAAATTACGTTGACGTATTCCATAAACCAGTTTCGCTCGAAGTAAATAAATGAGTTCAATTATTCGTTTAAAAATATATTTTGTAAATAAAAAATTTCTATTTTAACATTTTTTCAAATGATAATTCCGTACCGAATGTGCTAGATGCCTACATTTCTAACGCAATCAATGTCTCTAATAAATTGTTTTTGAAAATTAATAGTGCTTTGAGTACGACCCTCTGAAAATTTAATTAATGTTACCTCCACTAATTTTGATTGGATTAGAGAGGATTATTCTTTTGTTCGGTTTGACTAAAGCAACTATTGACGTCATCTGACATTTTATTTTTGTGGGGTGATATAAAAATTCACACTCGGTATGTATTTTTTCTATCTAAATAACATTACGCGAACTAAAGTGACCTACTCTAAAATTTCACGCATTTCTCAAAAACTAAACCACTGGTTTCAAGAGAGATTTGGTCATTCCATCCATTTGAAACTCTGTGTTTAACATTGAATTTTTTGTTCTGAGTTTAGGTTGAGAAGAACATTGTCTAAAACCTTTGCACTAAAAGCTGCCTCTCTATATGAAATAGATAATCGATTCTTTTGTACAGTTAAAAACTTTTATTATAATTCTTCTGTGCAAAAATGTGTGTGCTAAATATTCAACCTTTGTGTACTCTAAAATAAGCCGCATAAATCTTTACTTTACAGAATTTCCATAACGTTTTATGTTTAAATAATACCAGGAACGGCAATCCGAATAGGCTGTTATTTAATGATGGAAGTTCTTAAATAAGATATTGTCCTACATAAAATAGCCAAAGATTTTGTTTTTGGCCATATGGCAATGGCAACTAGGAACCATTCTTATATTCTATCTTTTTAAATCATTTCGGGCAGTTGTAACTGGTTAGTTTTGCGCATACCATTAATAAAAGATGCTACCCTTATTTATATCTAATTTCTAAATAAAACTAATTTTTGCATTTAAAAACGTTTTATGAAATATTCATAAATATAAGAAGTAATTGGAATTCACTCTTATAAACTTCGAAAAATGTGTTCCGTTTTCAGTATGAATATAGCATTCCAAAGCTATACATGCCGTTATATTCTGTTTTATTTCGTTGCATTTCATCACCGAGAATGATACAGATTCTCTAGAAAATGCCGCGCTTGTAGCTATATACACATTTGTATTGCAAGACACAGGTCTTTAAAATCAGATTTTATATTACGGCATGGAATTGATCATATATAATCGTACTGTGTGTGTTTTATATTACGGCACGGAATTGATCATATATAATCATACTTTATCATGCCCTTATAATATTCGGCTGATATATATTATAATATTATGTATTTATCTATTCTGTTGTATAAATGTATAGTGTTTAAAAGCATCTGCATACGTTTTACGTTCTCATATTTTAATTTTTTAAATTTATTTACTACTTTGCTGCTATCATTATTATTATTACCATCTTATACATTTTATTTACTTACTTTCCTACATATATTTTTACGCAAGTGCTTTACTTATTGCGTTACAAAATAATGACACAATTCTTCTCTGAGAACATAGTCTCATTTACCATTCTATTATTTTCTGTCAATACTATATTGCTGTATCTTATCATACCTGGAAACATGTAGTTGCCCCCAGTGAAGCCTATATATTGCGCTAATATGACTGGCCGTCAGAGCAGCCTTGCAGCTGATGGTAATAAGCAAAAAGTAAGGAAGCGAATTACAAAATCAAATTAAAAATAAAAACATTTAAGTATAACAACGTAAGCAATTCACACGAAGAATACATTTTTAAAAACAACTGTAATTATTAGATAAAATATTAAATCTCTATTTGAAGTGTCTCAGGAAATTTTAGATATTTTCTTAATATTTCATACACAGTACGTTTTAGCTGAATTTCTTGTCAGGTTTATCTATAACAGAAGCCGCAACTTTAGTCGGGATGTTTCGGGTTGAAGGTCGTAAGACAAATTGCGAGCAAAATAAAAAAAAGAAGGGCAAAAAACAACAAAAACAAAAAATTTTCGAAAAGTGATTCAGTTATCTAAAGTGAATCGACATTTACAGTGATATGCTGCAAAATCCCTTTTCGAGACTAAAATATCCTTTTCGGCTGAAAAAAAAAGGTTTATGAGATTAAAAGGCACTTACAACTTTTTTTATTGACACGTACTATGATTTTTTTTTAGTTTTGTGTTGAAACTCAGTGTTGAATTATCATAGAAAGGAGGCGCGCAATAATTAGCTGTAAGTATGCTAAATTCATTTCAGTTGAGTACATCTATCTCGTCAGATTAAAAAACAAATATAATAAGCCGACTATGTTTATGCTCTTCTTGTTTTAATTCCTTAACAAAATGTAGATTAGCCGAGCAAAAATAAATTCCAGCTGGCAGCATGTCAGCAGCTAATCTGTGACTGATCAATGTAGACGATTTCCTCTCATGTTCCATCCATGGAATAACTTTATTACAGTTAAACAGTATTGCCTTTATATGGCACTACAACGAATTGAGAAAGGAGAATTAATACTGGATCTGTATAAATCACTGCTGATATGGCCAAATTTCTCATATTGTGAACAGAAAATCTGTTTTGAAACTTGAATGCTTTGATGAACTAGTAAGAGACATGACCTTTTCTTATGTTGGGAATTTGATTTCCCCTTGTGCATGCACAGTGTTGAAAACGAAGGGAAATGAAACTGTATATAATCCCGTGCAGAAGCCAGAGCTGTGTGGATGCACATGGATTTTTCAATTAGAACCATGGTACTAATTGAAAAATCCACGTGCATCTATCAAGAAATTAAATTTAGAATTTGAAATGAGATGAGAACAATACGTTGCTGTTTGAAGAAGCTGCTTTATTTTCTGCAAATAATATTATCTGCTTCTTCGGTACGCTTAAACTGATTTTAAACTCTCACTCTTGCATTATTCTGTATTTCGTTTTTGCATTTTTGCATAAATAACAGCGGCTTTTACATCTCCAGTGATAAACAGCCAATAAAAGAAACCTAACGTGGCTCAAAATTTAATGTCAAACGTTTTGATTGTAATACTGTACGTACCTTTTCAAGTTAAACCAATTGGTGATTTATTTCTTTTCCTTGAGGCCCACCAAAGACCGATTGGTAAGATCGCTGAATACAAGTCCCGGTCAATGGGACGGCGAGTTGAGAGGTGTCATGACTTCTCCCACGGATAACGTAAATGAGAATCAATCCTTGAGAATCAATCAATCAGTGTAGTAAGTAGAGTTTTATTAAGGCAATCCTTTCTTAGGCAGATAGCCCTTGTAAAGAGAACGATGGGTTAAGTGCTTTCAACATTTAACATACCTTTCTCTACCTTGAACTTAATTCAAGTAAATTCAACTCATCAATTGGTATGTCAGATTTGAAGAAACAGATAACTAGATCCCGTGGGTAAATGGATGTAGCCATTATTTCTTGGATGATTCATGTTTCTGTTTTTTTAAAGTCATAAAAACAGTATCCCAGTTTAGCTTCGTAGGCATATCAGTGTAGTAAGTAGAGTTTTTAATTTTCTGTAATTACGATAATTAATTTAAATGTGAGAATTAATGATGAATCTAAACAATTTAAATATTCTGCGCTAAGGCCAAGCTTTTTTTATATTGAAAACAATTGGTACATTTTTTCATAGCTGTATATCCCCTCTAAAATCGAAGAAGAATTTGTTAGATTGAAGAAATTGTTAGATTAGACAATACTTCAAAAATAGGTTAGCTCTCTCTGGAGCCATATTAGTCGATAATGCTGTAACAACAACTAAAAGAATTTTAACTGCAGAGGACAAAATAACTGTATAAAACATCTAAACATAAACAATTTGGGAACTTT